GGCTCAGCGCGGGGACGGCGGCGCACGGGGACGCGCCGGGGACGGCGGCGCCCCCGGACTCACCTTTCAGCTTGCGCAGGGAGGCCTCGATCTCCGTCTCGATCAGGGGGAAGTCTTGGCGGCTGGGGCAGCTGCAGGGGACGGGGTCACGGTGGGGATGTGTCCCCCCCGTCCCAGCACTGGACACCCCCATCCCGGCATATCCAGGGTGCAGCCCATAAGGATTTGGGTGCAGTGGAAGCATCGGCCTTGTGCCAGCTCCAGAGCACACCCGGGTGCCGTGCAAAGCCCAACCTCACCGTGCAAAGCCCATATGCAGCGTGCAAAGCCAGTACTCAGCGTGCAAAGCTAACACGCAGCGTGCAAAGCTAACACGCGGTGTGCAAAGCCCACACGTGGCGTGCAAAGCCCACACGTGGCGTGCAAAACTAACACTCAGCATGCAAAGCCCATATGCAGCGTGCAAAGCTCCCACTTGCCATGCAAGCTACATATTCACTGGGCAAAGCCTGCGCTCACCATGCAAAACTTGTATTTGCCATGCAAAACCTTGGCTCACCATGCAAACCCCACGCTCGCCATGCAAACCTCACAACCACCGTGCAAACCCCACAGTCACCATGAAAACCCCACACTCACCGTGCAAACCCCACGCTCGCCAGGCAAACCTCACAAACACCATGCAAACCCCACAGTCACCATGCAAACCCCACGCTCGCTGTGCAAACCCCACGCTCACCGTGCAAACCCCACGCTCGCCGTGCAAACCCCGCGCTCGCCAGGCAAACCCCACGCTCGCCAGGCAAACCTCACAAACACCATGCAAACCCCACAGTCACCATGCAAACCCCACGCTCGCTGTGCAAACCCCACGCTCACCGTGCAAACCCCACGCTCGCCGTGCAAACCCCGCGCTCGCCAGGCAAACCCCACGCTCGCCAGGCAAACCTCACAAACACCATGCAAACCCCACAGTCACTATGCAAACCCCACACTCGCCATGCAAACCACACGCTCACCGTGCAAACCCCACGCTCGCCATGCAAACCTGGCACTCGCCGTGCAAACCCCACAGTCACCATGCAAACCCCACGCTCGCTGTGCAAACCCCACGCTCACCGTGCAAACCCCACGCTCGCCGTGCAAGCCTGGCACTCACCGTGCAAACCCCACAATCACCATGCAAACCCCACAATCACCGTGCAAACCCCATAATCACCGTGCAAACTTGGCACTCGCCATGCAAACCGCGCGCCCGCGCGCCGCGGCACTCACAGGCTGACCGTCTGCTGGATGACCTTCATCCAGTTGTTGCGGTCGTCGCGGGAGGCCGCGTGCACCTCGTACATCTCGGGCGGCGCGGCGCTGATGAGGAACATGCCCTTCTCCTGGTTGGCGATGTCGCGCACGATGAGGTTTTGCAGGGAGATCACGGCCGGCTTCTGCAGCAGAGGGGTGGCAGGGGCTGAGCGGGAGCCCGGGTGACGCGGGAGCACCCGGATGCGCCGCGGGAGCGCCCGGCCGCGCCGCGGCTCACCAGCATGGGGAAGGTGTATTTCTGGTCCTTCTCTTGCAGGAAGATGAGGACGTCGGTCATCAGCAGCACGAGGACGTCTGGGAGGAAGAGCAGGACCGTGGTGGGGCCATTCCTGGGCAGCCTCTGGGCGCCCCTGTGTGCTCTGGATCCTGGCACCCCCATTCCCTGGCATCTCCTGGTAGGCTGGTCTTCCAGGATGCCCATTCCCTGACATTCTGGTCCTCCAGGATCCCCATCTCCTGGCACCCTGGTCCTTCAGGATCCCCATGCCCTGGCATCTCCTGGTAGGCCTGGTAGGCTGGTCTTACAGGATCTCCATTCCCTGGCATCTCCTGGTAGGCTGGTCTTCCAGGATGCCCATTCCCCGGCATCCTGGTCCTCCAGGATCCCCATCTCCTGGCACCCTGGTCCTTCAGGATCCCCATGCCCTGGCATCTCCTGGTAGGCCTGGTAGGCTGGTCTTACAGGATCTCCATTCCCTGGCATCTCCTGGTAGGCTGGTCTTCCAGGATGCCCATTCCCTGGCATTCTGGTCCTCCAGGATCCCCATCTCCTGG